GTGCTGATTGTAAACTCAAACAAACTGAAGCTGTTGATAATCTCAACCTCTTCATCAATGATCATGATGCTGCCATTCGGCCCAGTGGTAAGAATCTTTGTTTTCTTGATGTTGAGCTTCAATCCATATTGAAAGCTGCAGTCCTTGACCTTCCTCAGCAAGCACTTGCTGAGCAAGCAAGGTCTTCCTAAGTTTCAGCAAGAAGGGTTGTGTCATCTGCATAACACAGATTGTTGATGAGTCTACCTCCAATCCTGGGGCCACATTTCTCCTCATAGAGCCCAGCCTCCTGGATAATCTGTTCCGCATATAGATTGAGAGATGTGGAGAATAGGACACATACTTGGCACACACCCTTCCCAATTTTGAACCATGCATTATTTCCTTTCTCTGTTCTGATGACTGCCTCCTGGTCCAAGTATAGGTTTTGCATGAGCACTATCAATTGTTCTGGGATTTCCATTCTTCTCAGAGTAAGCAACAGTTTGTTGTGATCCACACAGTCAAATGCCTTTGCATAGTCAATGAAACACAGATATACATTCCTCTGGTATTCTCTGCTTTCAGCCAAGATCCATCTGACATTAGCTAGAATATCCTTAGTACCATGGACTCTTCTAAACCCAGCCTGCACTTCAGGCAGTTCTCTGTTGATGTGCTGGTCCAGTCATTTCTGGATAATCTTCAGCAGAATCTTGCTTGCATGTGATATCAATGATGTTCCATTATTTTCGCACTCTGTTGGGTCACCTTTCTTTGGGATGAGAACAAATATAAATCTCTTCCAGTCAGTTGGCCAGGTGGTTGTCCTCCAGATTTCTTGGCACAACATGGTGAGTACATCCAGGGCAGCGTCTGTTTGTTGAAATATGTCATTTGGTATGCCATCAATTCCTGGGGCCTTGTTTTTTACCAATTCTTTCAGAGCAGCTTGAACATCTTCCTTCATCACCACAGGCTCTTGCTCATACGTTGTTTGATGAAATTCTTCAGTGTCCAACAATTATTTTTGGTACAATGACTCTGTATACTCTTGCCATCTTTTTTAAATGTTTCCTGGCTCATTTCATGTTTTGCCCAAAGCATCCTTAAGCTGATAAGAAATGTCAAATGAAAATAATCATGTATAACAGCTGGGACCTGCAAGAGAAGGTTGTCTCTGTGGAGGAGCATAAATTAAATACTCAAAAGCCAAGGGAGGGCAAACAGCAAATGCTGGCAAGGTTGTGGAGAAACTGGAACCCTTATTCACTGCTGGTGGGAGTGTAAAATGGTGCAACCACTATGGAAGGCTGTATGGCGCTTTCTCAAAAAGTTGCAAACAGAAATACCATTTGACCCAGCAATTCCACTACTGGGAATATACCCCAAAGAAACCATAACTGCCACCCAAGCAGATATATGCACACTCATGTTTATCATGGCTTTGTTCACAATAGCAAAGAGTTGCAAACAACCTAACTGTCCATCGACAAACGACTGGATAGAGAAGTTGTGGTATATTCACACAATGGAATACTATGCTGCTTTGAAAACCAAGGAACTCATGCAATATTATTCAAAATGGGTGATCCTGGAGGACATTATGCTGAGTGAAATATCTCAGCCACAAAAGGACGAATACTGCATAGTGCCACTGTTGTAAAATGAGACTGACATCGGGGTTGGGGGAGACTGAGAAGGATGGGATAAAATTATTTATTTAAAAAGATATTATATATTGAATTATGCATTGAAACAGATGAGGGAGAGAACTGTTTAAAAGGGTTATATGTTTAGGTATTATTGTCATGACAGTCCAGAACGAAGGCTGCATAGTGGAGTAGACTTGGGGGAAGAGATTTTATAACAATGAACAAATTTTTCTTTTTCTTTTCTCTTTTTAAAATTTTTATTAATTTTAATGAACATTTACAGAGATTTTGGATTTCCATTCATTCATTGTTGCACTATTTTCTCTACCCGCCCCCTGCAGTACATTCCTTTTTTTCCCCCCTTTTGAAAGTCTGTTTTAATTGTCCCATTGCCACAGTGCTTTTCAAAACCAGTTCTGATTAATCTCCTCTGTCAGTGTGTCCTCTGCCATTCCCTATCACTCCTCCCTGAGAGACACTTCACCTTGATTCATAAGGAAAAGGGAATGGCGTATTCTCTTAGCTACTTCCTGTTGAAAAGGGACGCTGTAGGTTTCAGGGTGAAGATCTTCTCTCACTACTCTAAAGGGCCCCTTTGGCAATAGGAAACACATAGACTATTGTGGAGATTGATTTTGGAATTTAGAGGCTTAACCATACATGTTCATATCCTTGAAGATGCATCATGGAACTGTTGTAGCCTAGAAGACACAAATTTAACTAACAAGTTAAAAGTACATGAGTCAAAAATTAAAAGCAATAATATTCCAAGTAGAGGTTCTAACAGGGGCACAAATCAAGTTACAGAGGGAAGGTAGTTCTTAAAAGAAAAGGCTTATTGACTAGCACTTTGTCTATTATAGTATAAAGGTTAGGAACCATAAGATGTAGAGGCTCAACTATGTCATTTATTGTTCCTAAGTCCTGGACCAAATTCCATCTACTGGGTTGTTTTACAGCTCAGAAGCCTGCATGCAAGGCAGAAAAGTAAGGAACTGCTTATGAGGTTTTTCCATCAATTCCAACAACTAAGAAATAGTGAGAAGAGTTGGGCCCTCAGAAGGCTTTTAGGACCAAATAATAGTCTCTTGTGTCCAGAAGAAAATGAATATACTTACCAGTAATGTTAATGCTCACCCACGGCTCTTCTGGGAGGATCTAAATCATTGAAGCATCCTCCTTTGTTTCCATATGGGAGCTGGGGCCTGTCAGTCCTGTCAGCCACGAGGACCTGATGTGGGCCACCATTGGCCATGTGTCCTTCAGATCCACACTTAAAGCAAGTGAGTGGGAGCTTCCTCTCTACTCCCTTGCCTATCTGTGGCTCTCCTCTGTGACACTGTCTACTGAAGTGGTCCAGCATAACACAGTGGAAGCAATTCTGACCTCCTTTATTACCTTTGGGTGGCATCTGTTTATGAGTAAGACTTCCTTTTCTTGACACAAGCCCTAAATTGGCAGCAATAGCTGCCCCAATAATTTTGGCCATTCTCTGGTCTTGTCTCTTCCCTCTAGATCCCAGTTGTTAAAAGAGGGGGGAAAGTTAAACAAATAATTTTGAACAATATAATCTTTTAAGTTTAAGGCTAGAAATATTAACAGTATGATCATTTCCAATCCAAAGATGTTCCAATGCAGTTCCTATTTTCCATAAATGGTTTTGGGAAGAAGAATATTGTAAATGTGGATACAGTTCCACTATTCCTCCTCCATGCCATGATATAGTATTATTACCATGAGCAGTTATAAATCTATTGCCTTCCTTACTCTAACTTAATTTTTTTTAAATTTAAATTTATTATTAATTTTAGTAAAAAGTTACAGAGACTTTGGATTTCCATTCATTCATTGTTGCACATTTCTCCCCTCCCAACCCTCCTCCTGCCCCCATAACACTACCCTCCTGGAAAAGTAAAAGAAAAATTCTTTCATTTTTTTACAAACCCTCCCCCAGGTCCACTCCACCATGTAGCCTTCGGTCTAGACTCCTGTCATGACAAAAATACCTAATCACATATCCCTTTTAAACAGTTTTCTCCCTCATCTGTTTCAATGCAGTATACATTACTTAACCCATCTTTCTCAGTCTCCCCCCAACCCCGAGGTCAGTCTCGTTTTACAACATTGGCACCATGCAATATTTGTCCTTTTGTGACTGGGATACTTCACTCAGCATAATGTCCTCCAGAGTCACCCATTTTGAATAATACTGCATGAGTCCCTTTTTTTCTTCAATGCAGCGTCCATTGTGTGAATATACCACAGCTTCTCTATCCATTCGTTTGTTGATGGGCACTTAGGGTTGTTTCCAACTCCTTGCTATTGTGAACAAAGCTGCAATAAACATGGGTGTGCATATATCTGCTTGGATGTCAGTTATGGTCTCTTTGGGATATATTCCCAGTTGTGGAATTGCTGGGTCAAATGGTATCTCTATTTGCAACTTTTTGAGAAAGCGCCATACAATCTTCCACAGTGGTTGCACCATTTTACACTCCCACCAACAGTGAATAAGGGTTCCAGTTTCTCTACAACCTTGCCAGCATTTGTTGCTTTTGCATCTCTCTTAGAGCTAGGGATTTTGAACATTTCTTCATGTGCTTTTTAGCCATCTGAATGTCTTCTTTGGTGAAGTATCTGTTCATATCCTGTGCCCATTTTTCTATTGGATTATTTACCTTTATCTTGTTGTGGTGCTCAAGTATTTTATAAATTCTGGATATAAGTCCCTTATCTGATATGTCATTACCAAATCATTTTTCCCAGTCGGTGGCTTCCCTTTTTACCCTTTTGGAGAAGTTTTTGGATATGCATAGGGATTTGATTCTTAGAAGATCCCATTCATTTATTTTCTCTTCTCCTGGCTGTAGGTGAGATCAAAACTCTTAATCACTGCTGGTAGTAATGTAAAATGGTATAGCCACTGTAGAAAGCGGTCTAGCACTTTCTCAAAAAGTTGGAAATAAAAATACCATCTGACTCAGCAATTTCACTTCTGGGAATATACCCTAAAGAAACGAGAGCCACACCTCAAACTCATGAGTCTGCACACCCATAGTTATAGTTGCATTATTCACACTAGCAAAGTGATGGAAGCTGTCCAAGTGCCCATCAACAAACATTCACAGAATGGAATATTACATAGCATTGAAAAACAGTGAACTCGGGAGCTCTGGTGGCCTAGTGGCAAGAAGCTGCACTACAATCCCAGAGGCACATGGTTCAAATCCATCAGATGCTCTGCCGGGGAAGGAGGGACAATCTCCTCCTGTACCAGTCAGATCTGATTTGACGGTACACACAAATAATAATAAAAAAAATTTTTTTTAAAAAAAGAAAAACAGTGAACTCTTAAAACACTACACAATGCAGGTGAGCCCAGAGGACATTATGCTGAGTGAAAGATCTCAGTCACAAAAGGACAAATACTGCATAACACCAGTTATAAAATAGGATTTCATGGTTTGTGGAGGAGAGAATAGGAAAAGAGTGGACAGATAATAAACACTGCATTGGAACGGAGAAGAGGAAGAACTGTCCAAAAGGACTATATAATAAGGTATTATATGTATAACAACAATCTGAAAAAAGAAGTGGTTTGCAAATTGAACTGGAGGAGGGCAAAAGAAGGAGGAAGTGGGAAGAAAATATGCAAGAATGAAGGAATGAAAAAAGCAACAAGAATTTAAGTCTTACTGCCACTGATACTACTAATACACACCACTTATATGCACACATTCCTTATTCCTGCCTTGAAGGAGCATTTCATTCCTATTTGATTGCTAATTATTTTAAAATCTTAGTACAGCAAAATTAGTATTTTGTTAGTTTCATAGTTGTCCATACCCTTTCCCGAAGTTGTAAGTTTTCCTCTTGCACTGTAAACTGTTTCTTTCTATACAGAACTATTACCAAATTGATGGGATACTCAGACATGCACTTCAGTTTGCATCCACTTTACACCTAAATTCCATTCAGTCACGCCAGTCATTCTAACACTTTTGTGTTACAAATCTTTTTGGCCTTTCTGATGGACCTAAGTGTCATTCACTAGAGAATGACCTTTCATCTACTTTGTGGGTGGAGATATCTAAAACCACAAAGCAAACTTAGTCTAAGTTTTTATTCTGTTTCTTAGATCTGTCTTCACAAGTCTAACCCCCTCCAGAAAGAAGAAATGAGGGAGTCACAGGTAAATTTTAAATAGTATGTTTGTTTTTTGCTTTGTAAAAAAAAAATGCTGTTTAAATAGAGTTCAGTAATTCATTTAGGAAATTGGGAAAACCTACAGATAACACATATTTTCAAAGGAAATACAGTTTCTAGGAAAGAGTTTCAGAGAAAAATTAAAATGTGGTTATGTAGAATGCATTCAGCTGGAGATTAAAGTTGAACTTCACATTTGAATCTCATCATTATAGATAAGGCAGACCAAATCAGAAACTGGTTACATTATGGAATTTGAAATGTTCATAAGAACAAAAATAAACATTTCTTAACAGCATTAAGGTACTCATTTGTACCTGTTGTTGTTAGGTGTTATAAGCTCTGATTCTTAGAGACCCTGTATAGAACAAAATGCTTGATGTTCACTCTTGTGTCATCCCTACAAATAGGTGGATTTAACTCATTGCTACAGCCCTATGTCAACTCATCTCATTGAGAAGCTCTCTTTTTTTGCTGACCCTCAACTTTATCAAGTATGATGTCTTTTTCTAGAGATTTATCCCTCCTGATAACTTGTCACTTCTAAAGTGCATTCTGGCTGTACTTCTTCCAGAAAAGAGTTGTTTTTTAAATTTACCATTGTTGATAGTGACAAGTTGGCTTTGACATATAGCACCTCTACTTGTAACAGATTGAAACTCTCTGATCCTTTGCAAGCCTCAGAATTTCTGCTATGCTAATGTGCACTGTTGCAGTTACTGTCACCTGAGGGTCTTCCTCTCCTTCACCAACCCTCCACTTTTCCAAGCATGGTACCCTTTTCTAGGAACTGATTCCTTTTGATAACAAGCCAGAAATATTCCTGAAATGATTCCATTTCCACCAGTGCTTTTTGGTATGGTAACTCTATTATTTTATTCTTCTTTTTGTGCTTATTCATAATCCAGTTTTTTGTTCCAAATCATTCAATATTGCAAATTTAGGCTTGAATTTTTTCTTCTATCTTATCACTTGAGAAATACTAAGCATATTCTTCCCCTTTGATTTTCTAACTCTGAATCTTTGCACTTTCATTACAATTCTTTGTCTTCTTGAGCTAATCTTTGAAATCTATTCAGCTCTTTAGATAATAATTTCTTATACCTATTTTATTTTCAAAAGTAAATTGTAGAGTCTCTTCTTACATTCATTTTGGTCTTTTCTTTTTTAATGACATTTTGCTTTCTTCATGTCTGATGTACTAGATGTCATCTTATAACTCCTGTGATCAGTCTATTTTTGAGATGATCTCTAAATCAGGTGACACCTACTCAGCATTGTACTTGGACTTTTATGGATTTGCTTTCATTTTCCTCAGCTTCAACTTAGACTTACATATGAGCAATTGATAACCTGCTCATTGTCAGCCCCTGGCCTTATTCTGCTTATGTTAATGAGTGTCTATGTTCCATCTGGTGAGTTTTATGTATATAATCCTTTGTGTTATGAAAATGTTTTTCCCAATGAGTAGGTTGCTAATCTTAAAAATTCCACCATGAAGAAAAAAAAAATTCCACCATGGAATTTCTGGTAGTGTTTCTATCTATTAACAAGGCCATATCTTTTATTCCACCTTGGTGCTTTTGTACCTGTGGGGGTGGCAGAAGCTTTTGCCATGAGTTGCTTCTCTATTGTCTGGCCCCCCAGTTCTGCCTGCACGGCTTCCAGTCTCCCAGTTCTGCCCAGCGGTGTGTCCCTCCATCTCCCCTCTGCGCCTCCTGGGACAGATTTCAGCAACAGTGTGTCTCTGGAGACTAAGGTGAGTCTGATACAGGCTCTGGTCTTTGCAATCACTTGTTATGCATCAGAGAGTTGGACAATGACTAGGGAGGATAGAAGGAGAATTGATGCCTTTGAGCTGTGGTGCTAGAGAAGAGTATTGAGGGTACCATGGACTGCCAAGAAAACAAACAGATTCATCCTGGAGAGGGTTAAACCGGGCTACTTCTTGGAGGCAAGGATTCTGAGGATTCATCGGACACACTATGGACGTGTTGTAAGGAGGGACAGGTTCTTGGAAAGGGACATCATGATTGGGAGGGTGGAGGGATGGTGCAGGAGGGGAAGACCCTCTATGAGGTGGATTGATTCAGTGACAGGGGTAATTGGGATGGGTGTGTCAGAGGCAGTACAATTGGCACAGAATAGAGCAGGGTTTAGGGCTGTTGTACACAGGGACGCTATGAGTCGCAAACGACTCGACAGCACATAACAACAAACAACATCTTTTGTTCCTTCCTGTTGTCCAATTTTCTCATTCTAATTGTTAGTAATTATCAATACATCTTGATAGTATGTTTAATCAGTTTGACAATGCAGAAGTTAGTAAAAATCTTCAACTTTTTAACTTTCACCATTTGAATAAATAACCATATTATCTTGTCCTTTTGTATGTCCTATCACTGACTATATTATATTTCAGGTTAGACCTTGAAGTGTCCTTTGTGTCTGTATGTGCAAACCATTGCACTTCAGTTTGTCATTCTCGCATAGTAAACTATATGATTGTCCAGTTCAAAATGGCCAGTACTGATTTATTTCCACTCACTACTGCCTGATAAATCAATCTTTATATAACCCAGTTTACTTTTCACTTTTTTCAAGTCCTAGATTAAAGCTTTGTACATTCCATGTTCTTATTTTTTAATGGATGTTTGCAGTTGTTACTTCTCATTTTAATTGAAGCCACAACCACCACCACCTCCTCCCTTACCCCAGTCCACTTTGCTATGCATCTCTTATTCTGGACTGTCATCATGCAAATAATACCTAATCTTTCCTCATCTGTTTCAATGCAATATTTATCATTTTGCACTCTTTTCTTAGTTATCCCCCAACCCCTATGTCAGTCCTGTTTTATAACAGTGGCATTATGCAGTGTTTGCCCTTTTGTGACTAAAATGCATCACTAAGCATAAAGTCCTCCAGGGTCACCCATTTTATATAATATTTTATTAGTTCCTTGGTTTTCAGTGGTACGTAGTATTCCATTGTGTGAATATACCACAGCTTCCCTATCAATTAATTTGTTGATGGGCACTTGGGTTGCTTCCATCTCTTTGCTTTTGTGAACAGCATAGCAATAAACATAGGTTTGCATATATCTGTTTGGGTGGCATTTTGTTTTCTTCTCATTTTCAAGGGAAGAGTTTTCAGTGTTTTTCCACTTGGTATAATAGTCAACTATTACTTTTTTCATTAATACCCTTAATCATGTTGAAGAGCCTCCTCTTCATTCCTACCTGTTAAGTGTCTTCATCAGGAAGTGTGACAGATTTTATCAGGTGATTTTTGTGAACTGATCGAAACAATTGGCTTACCTCACATTGAGCACTGCACATGTGCTGTTTGTGTACTTTCTTCTGCCTTCTAGGGATAGTGAAATGCCCAAAAAAAAGGTCCTTCACCATATCTGTGTTGGAATTGACTATCTTTGGCAGGATAGTTTAGTGTGTTGCCCCCACAGGGCACTTCTCTTACTAGGATTGGAGTAGGGTGCTCTCTGAAATTCTGTCCACCTACAGCCTACTTCCTAGATCTGGTGCACTTGTAGGTCAGGCCCCAAGTGCGTGGCACCTGTGTGCCCTCTACCCCATCACACTGGCAGAGTGAGCCATTTCTGACTTTAATGCACTCATCTCCTGTACTAACATTAACACCATCTCTGGCCATGCAGGTACCTCTGAGGCCCACAGAAACTGTCCCAGATTAGATGTCCCATCCTCAGTGCTCCCTAGGCTGGCAGAGATGCTTTCCAGATCTCAGAACCATGTTTCTAGCTCTCCCCAGGGCCAGTGAAAGCTCTATCCTTGGCCAAACACTTAGACCTCAACTGTGTCCAAAGAGCAGAAACTGCCATAACCTCACACCCTGCCAGACTTCTACTGGATGAGCTCAGACTCCATCCCAGAATGGATATCTCGACTGCAATCAGCTCTGTTGTTGTTATGTGCCATTGAGTCGCCTGCGACTCATAGTGACCCTATGTACAACAGCCCTAAACTCTGCCCTATCCTGTGTCAATCTCACCATCTCCGACACACCTACCCCCATTACTCCAGTCACTGAATCAATCCATCTCATCGAGGGTCTTCCTCTCCTGCACTATTCCTCCACTCTCCCAAGCCTGATGTCCTTCTCCAGGGACTGGTCAGACAAAGCTTCAG